AACATGAAATATTTACTGCTAATTTTTTTACTATCATTAATCAGTGAGTAGAAAAAAGTTACTTGCAATTTTGATACATTTGCATTCAAGTTTGCAATTTCGTTCTGTTCATAATTTACACCTTCTGTCACGTGCAGGCATGGTGGTGACGAGTTGGAATTTATTTCTGGTGAGAATCTACTTCTTCTTAAATCTCTTTATCGAGATAGCTTTAGCAAGTTATAATCGTCTTGTGGTTAAAAGTAAAAGTTACAGATTATAATTCTGTGAACAGGATAACGACAATGAGGAAGAATTTAAAAGAGAATATAAAAGAGCATATAAAAACCCTTTCGAGGGTTTATCTTTTAGCTTTACTTGCGAAGGTAGACCAGTCGGCTTTTACGCGGACGTGGAACATGACTGCAAGATTTTTCACGTTTGCAACGAACACGGCGAAAGAATTCCGGTGTTCTGTCCCTACAAAACGCTGTTTGATCAGAGACAGAGAATGTGCACGGATGAAGAAATACCTTGCAAGCAATCGGAGAAATGGTAGAGAGAGAGGGAGAGAGAGACAATGTCTTGCGCTTGTTTGGATTTGTAAAGAAGAAGCAAACGGTACAAAATAACGATTACTCATTTCAGGTATTATTTGGACAGCTCGAATTACTATTCTTACTTTATGGCATCTAAGAAAAACTCTGAAGTGACACTTGAAGAAATCGATGCGTTCACCGTTATACCACTCGAGGTTGATTAAACCCTGAATATCCTTGTTCCACAGTATGTTGTTTAGGATAATATTTCGATGAAATTATTGTATTTTACGAACGCTGTTATATCGGTAGAAAGTGTGAAAATGATTAAGCACAGTTGATCGCCGCGAGAAATCTCGAGTAATAATATTTATGTGATCGTTCTGTGCGGACTACATAATGTAAATAATGTATCAAACGATCTATTATATATATATATACGTATTTCACACGGCAGTAAACTGTGCTTAATAATTTTCACGTTCTATCGATACAGCATTATTTTATCTTATATATATATATATATATAAGATAAAATAATGCTGTATCGATAGAACGTGAAAATTATTAAGCACAGTTTACTGCCGTGTGAAATACGTATATATATATATAATAGATCGTTTGATACATTATTTACATTATGTAGTCCGCACAGAACGATCACATAAATATTATTACTCGAGATTTCTCGCGGCGATCAACTGTGCTTAATCATTTTCACACTTTCTACCGATATAACAGCGTTCGTAAAATACAATAATTTCATCGAAATATTATCCTAAACAACATACTGTGGAACAAGGATATTCAGGGTTTAATCAACCTCGAGTGGTATAACGGTGAACGCATCGATTTCTTCAAGTGTCACTTCAGAGTTTTTCTTAGATGCCATAAAGTAAGAATAGTAATTCGAGCTGTCCAAATAATACCTGAAATGAGTAATCGTTATTTTGTACCGTTTGCTTCTTCTTTACAAATCCAAACAAGCGCAAGACATTGTCTCTCTCTCCCTCTCTCTCTACCATTTCTCCGATTGCTTGCAAGGTATTTCTTCATCCGTGCACATTCTCTGTCTCTGATCAAACAGCGTTTTGTAGGGACAGAACACCGGAATTCTTTCGCCGTGTTCGTTGCAAACGTGAAAAATCTTGCAGTCATGTTCCACGTCCGCGTAAAAGCCGACTGGTCTACCTTCGCAAGTAAAGCTAAAAGATAAACCCTCGAAAGGGTTTTTATATGCTCTTTTATATTCTCTTTTAAATTCTTCCTCATTGTCGTTATCCTGTTCACAGAATTATAATCTGTAACTTTTACTTTTAACCACAAGACGATTATAACTTGCTAAAGCTATCTCGATAAAGAGATTTAAGAAGAAGTAGATTCTCACCAGAAATAAATTCCAACTCGTCACCACCATGCCTGCACGTGACAGAAGGTGTAAATTATGAACAGAACGAAATTGCAAACTTGAATGCAAATGTATCAAAATTGCAAGTAACTTTTTTCTACTCACTGATTAATGATAGTAAAAAAATTAGCAGTAAATATTTCATGTT